GATTTCTGAACCGAGTAGAAGATTAATAACTTCTACGAAATCAAAGATCTCTGAGCTTTTAGAGTATGCACCATATTGATTTACTTATCGGTTTATTCACACATATATTGAGTTCATGATGGAAATATATACGAGTATTCTCAAGGTATGGAATGTTTTTAATTACTACCAGATAGAATTTGGGAATTAGTCTTACAAAGCTTCCAAAATCAGTGAAGTTATACAGCTACTACAGAACTGGTTAAAATCAGTGATCTTCTACAATATCTACATGACTGATTACAACACTGCTCATGTGATTTGGTACTTTACTATATGGACGCTTGTTTTACCCCTGAGGCGAGCTAATGATTGGGAACTTATAGTGCCAAACTGACCTGCATATTCTATCAACCATTTCGTTGTAGTATTTAGGATCAACATGTAAGCTTAATTTGTCTCCTGATGTTGTTTAATTGTGTGCCTTAAAACTATCTGTAGTAGCATACCTTGTTTTCAACATCATTGGGGTCTTCGATAGCTTGTTTAGAATGCTAAACTGAAGAGTTGAAGTACTGAACAAATCGATACAGAGGTCAATAAAAAGTGTTTAGGAGGAATTTTTGGTCTGCAGTCTGTACTAATAAAATCTTGTGGTCATTCGTTTTGACCTGATCCAAGGTAAGGCCTATCAGTGCTAACTTCCAGGCTGTAGAAACTGAATTATGTTTATTGTATTCCTGGACGCCATACTGATCGGAGGTATACGATAGTGGAGAAGCAACATTCACTCTGTTTCTGTCATGCATGTATGCACTTTCTTCATCATTCTCTGCATCATTCATAAATTCTGCACATATAAACAATGAATATGTGTGATAAGTTTTCTCTTTATAGTAACGGAACTTTCGTGCGCATGACACTCATGTGTCTGATTTCTATCCAATAATTGATCCAGTGGGGTGCTGTCATTTTGTTCTAAGTAATGGATGGCTGGATGTGTACCATCGGACACTAATCGGACAAAGAGCATCATATGTGTAGCAACGCTCCTATGGTAAAGAAACCTATGTGGCAGTGACCACATATTGAACCTTGTATTGGATGATGACACCTTAGGAATATATGCTTTCTTCTTTCTTTGTATTTTCTTCCAAGAGGTTTAGTCTATTGCAAACTTCTTATTCCTTATATTATTTTTAAGGCTCTAAAAGCCACAGAGACAAGTGCATCACGTCAAAGCAATGAAGGTTAGCAAGTGAGATGAAGCATATAAGAATTCATGCCACAACTGAATTTTACTGGATTATTATCACCTTCAATCATTCTTCCAATTTGTTTTATAATCCCAGTGTAATGAATGGTGAGTCCAAGAAGAAGCATCATAATTCCAATGCTAAGATGATTCAAGCTTGATTGATACTCTTTCTGTCTATTCTAATAGCATCAAACTTATTCTTCTTCTTTTTTCTTTTTTAACAAACATTGATGTGCAGCACCCGCCATAGACGGCCATGTGATGACAGTGCTTGGTTAGCAATGCACTAGAAAGGAGTGACATGCCTGAATAGACTGAGCAACTTGGTTAGCATTCATGTGCACCCTATTGAAGACTGTTGTGTTCCTGCTCTTCTACACTACCATGGGAGATGATGTACTAGCATGTTGTCAACGTGAAGCGGGAGCTCCTGCAGAGGAGCAGCCAAATCATGTCACAGATGTTCTCATGTGGTTGCACCAGCAGTATCTATGCCAGCAACACATCAAGAAGAGCGAGAGCTATGGGAAACCAATCAACATGGGAGGTAGATTCTCTTCAGTGCTAGGCCACCGTTACACTGCGGAGAGGTGGAGCAACACTCATGTCACTATTGTTGTTAATTAAAACATAGTTTTTGTTGATATCTGTACCAACTAACGAGTGCATATCCCTTTTTTTCCTACAGTCCTAGAGGGATCAAAACACATACAATTAGAAAGGAGATGACAAGCCTGAAAATATAAGAATTGAAGCATTATATCTCTTTTCTTGTATCTATTTGTCTCTTTTGAATTATCCCAATGTTTTGCAATTTAGTTTTTCTGTAAATCTAATATTGTAATACTCCTTATACCTTAGTAATGCATAGGTGTAGTAATACTACAATTTTGAAGGATCTGTCCTTCTTGTATATCTTCCATCTTTTTGTGTATATTTTTGTCAGTTGCAAATTTTACACCAAGAAGTGGGATCTCTCAGGAAAGTATCCTTGTTTTTATGCTTTTTATTCTTTGGGATTTCTCTCTGGATCATTAGTTGGCTTGCACAATGGTAAGTATTTGGGTGATGCTTTTGCTGCTGCTCCACTACTATAGCAATGAGTTGTGTTCCTTGTGTACATTAATAATGGTCAAAATACTATCGGCTAAATCTGTTTTCACTAAATTATTAGATTTGTGTGTATCATTTTGCACAACTGAATATTTAGAGTAATATGCATGCTGCTACAAGTAATATTTAGAGTAATATGCATGCCACAACAGTCATGTACTCAATCAAGTACTATGCACTAGAAGCTGTGAAAAAACATTATGTGAGCAAACTTTAGTAACCTTATATTTGTATGCATGTTACAAACAAGATTACAATTTTTATCTTGAAGCCGTAAATGATTTTAGCTACATCCATTTTCAGTATGATCACACCTTGATGGCACTGAAAATTCTTCTGTTATTGGCTTATTGCAGGTTTAACTCGAGTCTCCACTCTGTAGGCATGATTAAGTACATGGTCAAACTACTGCCATGAGATTTGCGGCATGGGTGGTCAAATCATCGCCTCAGATTTGCGATGGCCTGACTTTTGTATTGCTATTTCCTTTGGTGCCCACAGACACTGGATAACTCTCAGAATGTGTGATGTAACGAGTAGTACATCGTTTGTAAGTTTCCATAAGTGTGAGCTCTGTTCTACTTTTAGTATTTTCATTTTTGTATCGAGGCAAGTATAAACTCTTTGATTCCTGATAACTAATTACCCTATTGGATTTAATGTGTGATAATCAATATATTTTTGTTACAATATCTTTGTTCCACTATTTTTTTTTCTTGCTTCACACATATTCAAATGCCATGTTGCTAGCATTGTATGACATGTTTTGTTGTTGCATCATATTATTAATAGTATATATTTGATACTTCAGAATCTGCCAATAGTTAGAGCAGATTTTTCAAGTTTATAAGACAACAGCTATAAAAGAATCCTTAGTTGAAGCACTATAAAAGAATCCTCAGAGTTGACGGAGATTCTGGAGTTAGAGAAGACAACATTGTAGCATCAGAGGTATGCTGAATGAAGCACGACAACTATGAACCAAGCATTTATGTAGAGAGTCGAGTGTTGAGGAAAAAAACATCTTTGCACTTACATTCATGGCTTTGTTTTCTATGACGATGATTCTAGAACTGCTATATCAAGATTATCACAAAACTCTTGGCCAACCGTCTACAAAAACTAATCCTGCAGATCATTCATCGAATACATCCACCAGTGCCAAGCTTTCAGGGAAAAGTCCTTCATCCTAAAGCTAGATTTCTCCAAGGCATTTGACACCATTGATCACACTGCGATGATCGAGATTATGGCGGAACTGGATAAATCGCATACATGGCTGAACTGGAAAAATAATCATCGGTCCTCCTGAATGGGGTGCCAAGTCATCAATTTCACTGTTGAAGAGGAGTTCGATAGGGAGACCCTTTGTCACCACTCATTTTCCTTCTTGTCGCGGATTTACTCCAAGCTGCAATCAATGATGCTATGAAAATATTGTTACATGTAGCCCTGACATTCTGATCATTTTAATACAAGACTGTAGGAAACTCTCCGTCAATCACTCACAGTTACAAAAAATGAATCTGAAAATATCAACTAATTATAAATGTCATTTACGATCACCAACGATCTTACCAATTTCATGGCATTATAAGAAAAAATATCCTAGAAGTTGAGCGTATCGGAGGGGCCTCAATCCTTTTGAGCCAAGAAAAGTAGGTGGGGTATGTCCCAAATCTTTAGGATTATGTTTATATAGGCAACCATTAGGCCTAGTTTGGCAACAACGTTTTTTTCGAACCATGGTATTCCAAAACCTAAGTATTTCAATGCATGAGCAATAAATACTTCAGTCTGTAAAAATCATAGTTTTCTCAGTTTTGGTAAAACTGCGAGGTGTTTGGCAAGTGGCAGTTTTTCTCAGTTTTTTTTGGTTTGCATCGACTGTTACGTTGTTGTATGCATATTCAGCTACACTTAGAGATCAGCTTGTACTAATAGGCACCGTATGCATTCAGCCTTGCACGAGCATGTTCTCCTAAATGATATGATCTGTAGTAGAGTTATCTCTTGTAATCAATCAAGGGATCAGCTTATACTAATAGGCACCGTATGCATTCAGCCTTGCACGAGCATGTTCTCCTAGATGATATGATCTGTAGTAGAGTTATCTCTTGTAATCAATCAAAGACCGAGATAGTTAACACATGGTACTGAAGGTCGAAGTTTGCAGCTCGTGTACGTGTACGTCCGCCGCATCACAGTCGTTGATGGCCAGAAGTTGGACACAAGAGAGACCAAGCAGCCAGCGCTTTCTCGGTTTTAAAAGAAGAGGTTAGGGCCTCTTTTTTATATACAACAAAAATACCACAGTTTTAGAGATACCACGGTTTGTTGAACTGCAGTACTTTTTTCATCCAAACGACTCAAAGTATTAAATACCAAAGTTTTTTCCAGAAACCACAGTATTCCAGAAAACCACAAAAATACTTTGGCTTCCAAACGCACCCTTAATTTTTTTAAAAAGCCCGTAGCAACTCACGGGCATTCTAGTATCTCTAGTCTATCTGTGATAATCGTGAGAGGGAAGACCAGTAACGTTATATAACACTATAACAACACTAACTCAAACAACACCAGACTGAAACTGAGGCGGTCGTGGATCCTATCATACTCTTAGAAACCAAAGGCACCAGCTGGCCCTCCTCTATAACTGGTCTCTTCCAAGCACGAGTACAAGACAGTGAGGGCGAACATGATCCCGGTGCCAGAGCCGACCACGCCAGCAAGGTCTGCCAGAAGCGTAAGTGCACCAATGCAGAGTCCTACAAGAAACGCTGCCTTGCCTACATAGCACCTCCATAGCTGCAGAGGAACAGAGTCCGGCTGGGCGACTGTTACATTTCGTCGCTCCTGTAGGAACACAAGAGCGACAAGTAAGATTACTAGTAAGTACTCCCTCCGTCCCATAATATAAGAACGTTTTCTAGCTAGTGCTACTACTGAGAGATAGATGCATGCTCTCCGGTCTCCTGGTAATTTTAGATTCACTTACCCCAAGCAACCTGCCAACGCACTGAAAAGGGAAAATGACGTAAGGCCACACCCCAGAAGCTGCCACAGCGCATAAACCAGTGTGAGGAATGGGTGTCTTCCTACTTCAGCCAAGCTTCAATTCCAGGAGGAAACATTTTACATGTCAGTAAAACTTTCAATTCAAAAGTATCAATGGATAGTCTACTAGTTCCGACTATTTTTCTATCTCATCGCCCACAATGCTTTCTTTTAGAAAAAGTGAATATGGGTGCATACTAACGTTGGTGGTGTAGTAACGTAGTAGGCTAAGCCACTGACTGGAACTGCTTGCCCAAAATATCTGGATTTCTTCCATTTGCCCAGCAAAATGACCACCTTGTTCTTTTCACCAAACTTCACGTACACCAACTGCATAATAGTATTCCAAAAGGACATAAAGCATATTACTTTTTTTGGCATTTTCACCAAATTTACTCGGTATGAAACAAAAGCATAATGTGATAATAATAATAATAATAATAATAATAATAATAATAATAGTAATAATAGTAATAGTAATAGTAATAGTAATAATAATAATAATAGTAGTAGTAATAGTAGTAGTAGTAGTATATATACTTTCCTTTTTGGCATTTCTCAAATTCAATGCTCCCTCAGGTTTTTAAGTAATGGCGTCAGGATACATTTTTAGATAAAAAATGAACTGAAAGTGTTGTCCTAATGTCATCAATTAAAAACCAGAGTGAGAACAATATATTGACGCCACAAGCTTTAGTAAAAAAATACTGCATTAAAAATATTTTTTGGAAACAAATAGAGCTGATCCATGGCAAATATTCCATGTGCATGTGCGTCATGCAATCATATGCAAAAAAATCACATATTAATAGTTTTGGCAACTGAGAGTATTCTACAGTGATGTGGCTGGTACCTCTGAGATGATGTATAGGAATATGGCCATTACATCCTGGAAGAGTAGGGGTGCAAAGGACAGGTAGGAAAGCTTGATGGCATAGTTCATTTGCATACTAGGCACCTCACTGGATCTCAGTGGCAACGTGGCATGGAAGCCTTGCAGGCTGAGGACGAGTAGAAAGAAGGCGCACGTGGAAAGCACACTAGCCATCTCCGGGAGGTCTCGACATCCGTACACTTTATGCATCGAAGACAATTTGTAGTTTCCATTACCAACGAATCGATGAATAAGGGAGGAAGTGAGAGCTTCCCCATGTTGATCACCATGCTGCCCACCGTATAGCTTTATGATACAGGGGCTAAAAGCTTTCCAGAAAATACTTGTACTGCACAAATGAAACATATGGCCCATTAACTTTGAGTTAATATAACTACAGGACATGTATGTATTATTGCTTAGGCTAATTCACTTACTCCTTCCGTCCGCGAATAAGTGTACATCTAGCTTTTGTCTTAAGTCAAAGTTTTAATACTTTGACCAAATTTCTAGGAAAGAGTAAAAGCATTTATGGCACCAAATTAGTATCACTAGATTCGTTTTGAAATGTACTTTCATAATATATCAATTTGATGTCATATATGTTACTACTATTTTTTATAAAGTTGGTCAAAATTTTAAAACTTTGACTTAGAACAAAAGCTAGATGTACACTTATTCGCGGACGGAGGGAGTAATTGCTTATCAAGACCAGATCTTGCTGGAGAGATGGAGTCGTGACAGTATGACTCCAACCGTCAAGGTTTAAATCGCAATGCCTAAGGTTTAAACCACTACCATCAAGCATTGTTTTCCAGTTGAATCAATTTGACAGGAAAAGCATATAGTCTGCCAGTGCCAGTGCATTCAGTGCTAATATTTGTAGACCCTTCAAAAGGGAAAATGAAACATAGCTGACTAGTTGTTATTGTGCCAGGGTCAATCAGTTAAACTTTCATTTAAACACCTTTAATTCTTTTTCCTTCAATCAAAACCATCAAATGTTTCAACTAATCTTGACTTGGGTGATCAACAAGTGAACTTTGCTTATCTTACCCCATATATTATTAGATTATTATGCCAGTCTAATCCATAAATTGTGATATGGATTCAACTTTGTGTTAATGTAAATTGCTAATCCAAACAAGGAATGATGATAAACAAGTAGTGCAACTCTTCAATTTTGTGGGCATCTTTGCACACCGAATATTCTTTAGAAAAATTAACAAGACAAACAGTCTACTGCACTATATTAATTGTTAATAAGGGCAGCCCCAGTGCATGTAGCTCCCGCTTGCGCAGGGTCTGGGGAAGGGTCCGACCACTTTGGGTCTATTGTACGCAGCCTTTCCCTACATTTCTGCAAGAGGCTGTTTCCAGGACTTGAACCCGTGACCTCATGGTCACAAGGCAGCAGCTTTACCACTGCGCCAAGGCTCCCCTTCATATTAATTGTTAATAACCGTAACAAATTTCCATTACTAATATGAAGTGTTATAGCTGTATCAGATGGAAACATGGGTTTTTCACAGTAAAGGTTTTGGGTCACTGCAACAACTGCATATTCAAAAGTTGTAATTTCTGAAATTTTAGTATTTCAAAGGACTGCCAAACAATGCATTCATGTTGATGGGCTTGATACAGGAAGTGAAATAGAATATTGATGGTTCTTTCTTCTTAAGAACTCCCTCTGCTCATTGTTTAGCACTAAGTTTAATTGGCAGGAGTTTCTATACATTTAACTGTTAATTTCTACTGCACTATATTATTTACTGTTATGAAATCAGTAACCCATTAAAAGCACCGTGTAAAATGCATTTATTGATTAAAACTTTTTGGCCATTCAACATGCATAAAATTGTACAGTCAATCAAACTTCGGCTTCTTACTTCATAATGCCCTACAAAAAAGGAATGGAGCATAGTTGTAGGATTTCGGTCTTACCAAATGTCGGTGGCACTGAACAAGGGGATACTCGAAAGAAACCCATATCCCTTTTTAAGGAGATCATCAAGATAAATGACGATGACACTTCCAAAGAAATGCTGAAGCACGATCAGAATTGACTGCCCTAAGGTCAGTTTGCCCAAGATAGGTGAAATTAGCACCCTGCAGACTGAGAAATCAGCGGCAAAAATTATCCCAACCAACTTCTGCACCCGACTCCTGAGAATAATTGATATAATCATTAGACTTATATATGGAGAAAAGATGAGGAAAAAAAACTGAATACTACATCTGGTCATAAAAGCATCAACAGGACCCCCAAAATAGAACTTTGAAGATTAAAGTCTACTGTATTATGCTTACACAAATTGTCAAATTGTCAGTTTTTGAATTTTGACTGAATGGAGAAGAGACTTATATTAGCAGTACTTACAGGAGCATCCGGTCCTCAGGATTGTTTGCTCTAAGAACCTTACACCACAGCACGAAATGAAGCACCGCCTCAGACAGAACAAGGGGCATGATCCCAGCAGACATGACGGAGTTGCAGTCGGGCATGTCAACCCAGTACTGAGAGTCAGCAACCGATGGAGAACGGACTCCATATCCATACACAGGCAGTTGGCTGCCGACAAGGTAGATGAGGAGGGAAATGGCCGTGTAAGCCACCTTCTGGCAGCGAGGGACCATGCTGCTAGGCCTCTGGACCTCCGGTAAGATCCCCACCACTTGCAGGGCCAGATTGGGCAGCTCCAGCCAGCGATCTGCCATTGAATTTGTGATGACGTGCAGCTAGATTACAATTGTTAGTACCTGTGGCATGCAGAGAAGTGAAGCAACACAAACGTTTTTTTGTGTGTGTTAGCAACACAAACGTTAACTTGCACACTGAAATCAAAGAGTAACAATACTATATTACTCTGAAACAGTTCGGAAAGAAGTAGATAGGTGCCCTCGAAGAAAGTCTTTCTTCACTAGAGAAGAAATTAAATCCACCTTGTACTCTAAACCAATTCCGAGACAGGCAGACAGCCGCCCTGGCTAATGCCAACCGAGAGACCCGCCACCACCCCCATCCCCCTGCTAAAAAAAAGAAACTCCCCGTCTCCATCCCGATTGGGAAGAAATCCCCCCATCTTCGCACCCTCCCAAGTCCACGGGCAAGGGATCAAACCCATCCCCACCACATCCAGCCTAAATTTCAACTACGAAAAGGACGATTAGAGGATTGGGGGAGGAGAGCTCAGCTATCACCTTCCGTCGAAGCTGGACGGGGAGGGCCAAGCCAAGCCAACCCAAGGCGGTAGGGTTCTTGCCGCAGTTGCGCTGGCCGCACGAGACCGAGCCGCTGCTAAGCCTTAGCCGCTGTGGTGCTGCCTGTGTGGCGACGGGCGGCGAGAGGAGAGAATGCTCCCAGAAAATATTAGACGTTGGATGAAAGATGGATGGATGCACATGATCTGGGCGACTGGTAGATTTTTTTTGGGTCTTTTACATCTGTGTCCTTAACTCGAACCACCTAATCAGATATACCCCTAATTCGAAAGCCTGCTCAAAAATGCCCCTCCGCCGTTATGTGCACTTATAGAAATGCCCTTCCGCTCCGTTACCGTCCGGTCAAAGGCCTTTGACCGTCAACATGACGTTTTCTGGACATTTCTACCCCTTCCTCCATGTGACACTTACGTGTGGGACCCACTCAAACAAAAATAAAAAGAAAAGGCTCTATCTCTCCTCTCTCTGCCTGTCTCACCTACATGTAGGACCCACCCAAAAAAAATCTTTCATGTCTCTCCCTCAGCTCCGGCGGGAGCGCACGCAACTAGCAGTAGCCTCGCCGGGGTGAGGTGCTGCACGGCTCCGACCCCTTATGACCTCGTCGATCCGGTCCACGCCCCCCCTCCCCCGTGCACCCTCTTTTCTCTCTGCCACGCGACAAAGACGTGGTCCGCGGGAATCATGGTCGTCCGCCCAGGTGTTGTTCGTCATGCAGGCGGCCAACGGGAACCCCACGACCTGTAGCCTTGTCCAAGGGATCCGCCTGTTCATCCTCGACTTCCACACCGAATTAATTGAAGTATAACGCCTCAAATCAGTGTGGTTGATGTCGTCTTCTCCCCCTCCGGTGATGCTTTGTCGCGCCTCGATCTCCTCTGCTACGCGTCCCTATGCTCTATCTTGGTTGACTCGTCGAGATCTGGTGCTTACAGACCCTGTGGACCCCTCGCTGCGGAGCCCTTCATTCCCGAGCCACCGTGTCAGCGTCACCTTGCTCCGACGTCCGCCGTGGACGACGAGGTCGTCGCTCTGGTGAATCCCAAGCCTCCTGGATCATGCCTTCATCAAATAAGTGAGCCACTTATGTGTTTGCTCACGTTCTTTAGTCCCCCCCCCCTCTGTAGCTTGCCCGTGCCTAGCGCCTTCCGCCGTTGCCACGGGACCTTGTCGCCGGCGAGCTTCCCGGCTGCTCTACAAACTCCAAGTGCCCTTGCGGACCAGCCCGTGACCCCGCCTTGCTCCAGGACCGTTCACAGCTCGCCCTAGCGTGCTCCCGCGCAGTCCCGAGCCAACCCCGGAGCGCCTGTGCTCGTCGGAGTTCAAGCTCCGTCGTGTAGATGGGAGGTGACATGTGGGTGATATGTGGGCCCCATGTGAAATTGATATTTTTTATTTTCGGTCCCACGTGTAAGTGAGACGACAGAGAGAGCTTTTTCTTTTTATTTTTCTTTGAGTGGGTCCCACGCGTAAGGGACACATGGAGGGAGGGGTACAAATGTCCAGAAAACGTCCCGTTGACGGTCAAATGCCTTTGACCGGATGGTAACGGAGCGGAAGGGCATTTCTATAAGTGCACATAACGGCGGAGGGGCATTTTTGAGCAGGCTTTTGAATTAGGGGTATATCTGATTAGGTGGTTCGAGTTAGGGACAGAAATGCAAATGGCCCTTTTTTTAGTACAGTAAAACCGAGACACTCGATCCCTCAAAAAAGAAAAAAACGAGACACTCGAGGACGGGGCGTCGACCCATTGGCTGGGCAGCTGGGGTAGCTGCCAGCCCACCCGGGTTCGAGCCTCGGCTCTAACAAGCGGTGCTCTTCGAGTTTTTTTTTCAACCCTCTCAGAGCATCTGCAGTCGGATGCCACAAACCCGCCTCAAAAGCCCGGGATGATGGCACCTGGAGATTAAATATCTGCCGTGAAGTGATCGGTAGCACAGTAATATGGTGATTTTGATAGCAGTGGTAACAGTAGGAGCGGCAATAGTAACTTAGCAAAAGCAATATGTGGAAAATTCGTAGGCATTGGACCGGGTGAATTCGTTGGATGATATTCATCATATAACAGTCATAACCTAGGGCGATACAAAACTAGTTCCAGTTCATAAATATATGTGCTTATGAAATAAACTTGCATGACATCTTTTATCCTACCCTTCCGTGGGAACGGAGTCCATAAGGTAACTAAGGGATATCAAGGCCTCCTTTTAATAGAGAACCGGAACAAAGCATTCACTCATAGTGAATACATGAATTCCTAAGGCCTGACCCAATTCATTAGGTTATGGGAGGCTTTGTGAGAAATACAGTTGACCCAGGAGGTGGAGGATAGACCGATCTGGGCATGGAGCACCACTGGAATTTACACGGCGGCATCGGCTTATAAGATGATGTGCGAAGGGGGGATCAGGTTCCAGTCGGCAGCAGCAATATGGAAGTGTTGGACGCCGCTAGGGTGCAAATCTTCATGTGGCTCGCCATACTGCATAGGCTCTGGACGTCTGACCGGCGCGTGCGTCACGGGTTGCAAGATGTGATATCGCCATGCTATCTTTGCGACCAGGAAGAGGACACAATAGAACACATCCTGATGCAATGTGTGTTCGCCAGGCAGGTTTGGCACCTTTGTTTCATGGAGACGGAGACTAATTTGTCGTTCATGCCTACGGGACAAGAATCGCTCCAGGACTGGTGGAACTCGGCTCAGAAGCAGGTCACAAAAGCACACCGCAAGGACTTTGATGCTATGGTGATGCTCGTGTGTTGGTGCATTTGGAAGCAAAGGAATGGGAGAGTGTTCAGAAGAAATGATAATTGTAATGAGCGAGGCACGTTTCAGTCCATCATGAGAGAGCGACACCTTTGGGCGATTGCAAGAAGGGGTGGAGTCCAACCGAGTCGTGAGTAGTCAGCTAGGTGGTGTGGAGTAGGGGTGGGTAGGCTCGCCGTGTGTGAGGCCTGCATTTGTAAAAGAACTCTTGTAATTATCTCTCTTCCGTCTATAAAGCTAAGGTACGCCTTTGGCGTACACTCAAAAAAAGAATACATGAACTCCTCAAACTACGATCATCACCGGAAAGTATCCCAATCACTGTCACCCTAGGGTTTACAGATCATAATGCGTAATAGGTAAATATGACTTGCAAGATTGGATTTAGAACATCGATATAATGGTGAAAATATAAACGGTTCAGATCTGGAATCATGACACTCGTGCCCTAGTGACAAGCATTAAGCATGGCAAAGTCATAACAACATCAATCTCAGAATATAGTGGATACTAGGGATCAAGCCCTAACAAAACTAACTCGATTACATGATGAATCTCATCCAACTCCTCATCGACCAGCGAGCCTACAAAGGAATTACTCACTCCCGGTGGGGAGCATCATAGAATTGGTGATGAACAAGGATTGGTGATGATGAAAACCGAAGATTCCCCTCTTCGGAGCCCCAAACGGGCTCTAGAGCTGGCCTCCCGATGAAGAACAGGAGGTGGCGGCAGCTCCATATCGTGAAACGTGATGAAACTTTTTTCCTCATTTTTCTTCAAAAATAGGATTTTATAGCATCAGAATTAGGGTCTACGGGGCCACGAGGTGGGGACAACCCACCAGGGCGCGCCAGAGGGGGGCACCCTGGTGTCTTGTGCCCAGCCAGGGGCCCCTCCGGTGGGTCTTGGCTCTAGTATTTTTCTTTTATTGTAAAATAATTCTCCAAAAAGTATCGTTCCATTCCAAGAACTTTTATTTCTGCACAAAACCAACGTCGTGGTAGTTCTGCTGAAAACAACGTCAGTCCGAAATAGTTTCATTCAAATCATGCAAATTAGAATCCAAAACAGGATCAAAAGCGTTAGGAAAAGTAGATATGACGGAGACGTATCAGAAACCCGGCGGTCCGAAGCTCGTCTCCTTCGTTGGACCGATGTCGCCGTGTGGCGCCGCTCCGGCGGGCCGCGTAGTGCCTAACCCGGCTATTTAAGCCGACCACCGACATCGAAACCCTACCATTCCACATTTTCCTCCTCCCGTCCGCCACCACCACCACTTTCCACTCCTAATCCACCGCCACTAGTAGCCATGCGCCCATGCTGCCGGGTGAGGAGCTACCCATTTCTAATGCCGGAGCATCGGCTGCAGCTCCTTGAGCAGATCCAGGCAAGGCACGAAGCTCGAATCGCCGCGGGGCTACCTCCGGATGTAGTGGATCCGAAGAAGTTGGAGGAGGAGGAAGGATAAGGAGGAGGAGGAGGATGTGGAGGATGCTGGGGACGCGGATCTGTAGGCGGAGCAGTAGGCCATCCTCGATTCCCACCACTTTGAGTCGGATGCGGTGACCAGACGTCGTCGTCTGAAGGAGATGGAGGCAGAGCATGCCCCAAAGGAGGAGGAGATGCTCTCCTACATGGATGTGGTCGAGGAGGAGGAGGAGGAGCCAGAGCCCTCCTACACGCCTGTCCACCCGACGCCCGGCACCAACGTCGTGGACAT